CGGCGGGGCCGGGGGTCCTGGGCGCCGCTGCTCTTGCTGCTGCTGGCCGGGCCCACCGCCTGCACTGCCAGCCCCGCCGACGACGGCGCAGGCCCAGGGGGCCGGGGACCCCGGGGACGAGCGCGAGGAGACGCCGGCTCGGACGAGGCGGCGCCGCGCCACGACTCCTCCTATGGCACCTTCGCCAGCGAGTTCTACGACCTGCGCTACCTGTCCGAAGAGGGTGAGGCTTTGAGTGGGTGAAGGGCTGTGGGAGGGGAGCCCAGGGTTGGAGACTCGGCTAGATTGGGATCCGGGGGTGGAGAGGTAAGGATGCGAACGGAGGCTGATGCTGTTCTGACGCCCGGGATGGGAGCGCACTGCTCTGATTCCCAGCGGCCTGGAGGAAGGGCTCCCGAGCGGTTAGCGCTTTGCACCTGCCGGTGCTTTATAGGTGCTGTGAGTGAATCTGGAAACGCGAGGCAGGTACTCACGGCCTGCGATCTCGGGGCCAGATGGGCCGCGCTAGGCTCTCTCAGTCCCCAGCATCTCGCCTCCACGACGACTGCCGGGTGCGGGGGCAGTAAAAGAGGAAGCCACCATCTGGTTTAGAGTGTGTGAGACCCAGGGCCCTCAGAGGATGGGAGAACTTGTGTTTCAGGTCTGACAAAGGTTTCTGGGGACCCTTTGTTGGGAAGCAGAAACCTAGATCTTTACCCTAATTTAAAGAGAGATGCTTCCTTTCCACCAGCATTGTTACAGCTTGCCGACATAAGCATTCTACTCCTGCTTACTGCCCTGCGTCAAAACTGGGTCACATCTTTCTTCCCATTTCCATCACACTTCTTTTTCTGTTACTATACATGCTAGAGTCTCCTGATGTGAACCACCTTTGGTGAGGTCTGCTGAGTGCGAAGACTAGGGGTTTGTTAGCCCATGACCCACCTGCTGAGCTGCTTCTATGAGCACAAAAATCAAGCTGATTCTGTTAAGAATAGAAATTGGGCTGTTGCACGGTTTTAAAAGTAGTGCTGTTTCGTTTCTTTTGTTGAGGGTGATAAGGAACTCTGGTGATGTGGGCCTTCTAACGGCTGTACCTCTCACGTGGTTTGAAGGGTTCCACTGGAGAAAGATCAGGAATCTTCTTCCATGCATGTTATAGCTTCAGAAACCCACAAGAGGACCAGGTGTGAGTTGATTAAACTCTACAGCATGAGAGAGAGAGGGACTCAAACAATCCAAGAATCAAATTGGAGCTTGAAACTTTTAATTGATGCAATGCTGAGTGTATCTACTAGTTAGGATTAGGTTCATCTGCAGTTGACAGTCATTAATAAATGAGAGAGGAGTTTCTTGCTCATGTGAAGCAATCTAGAAGTAGGCAGTCCAGAACTGATAAGGAGGGTCCATGGTTATCAGGGACCGTAGGTCCTGCTTCTCCACAATTTTTAGCCTTTAACTTCGTGGTCCAAGATGGCTGCTTGTGCTCCAGCTATTGCATCCAAATTCCAGGCAGTGAGGAAGAGGAAACAGGATGAAGGTAATTGATTATTCATAAGGAGATTGCTCAAAACTATCATATGACACTTCTGCTTATATCTCATTGACCAAAATTTTGGTACATAGTAACATGTAGATGTTAAGCAGACTTAAAAATTGTAACTTTACATGAGAAGCAACTGCCCAATTTGAAAGCTGGAATTATTGTATTAAAGGAATACAAAGACAGTTGACATTAGCAAGTCTGTTGGTTAAGGAAAGGCCTTAATTACTGAAACAAAGATCCCAATATATAATGGTTTGAGTACGATAGTGTATTTTTTTCCTCTCACCTAAGAGTATCTGACTTGGTCTGATGGGGCAGCTTTGTTCTATAAGGTTATTCAAGGACTCAAGTTCCTTCCTTCTATTGCTCTACCCACCATCCCTTAAGGCTTGCCTTCATCTGTGTAGTAGAATTTGGCTCACTAGTATATTTTACCAAAATTGTTTCAATATTTAGAGAAGAGCAAAAAGGATTATCAGAGCAAGGAACTACTTTCTAGTCTACCTAGACACAGATCTTGCTGTTCACATTCCACTGACAGGAACATAATTACAAGGGCAGCTGGCAAATGAAGCTATCTAGCTGGGCAGACATGTGGACAAGAAGTTAAGAAAGAGAGTAGGGAGAATACAAGGAGACAATAAAAGAAGTCTAGTCCAACACTCGGGAAAAACCTAAGTATTCCAAAGCCAGCTAACTTAAATGTGGTATGTGCGAGTAAGAAGAGGTTAGATTCTGTGTATCAGTTTGCGTATTCAGAGGAGGACATGCTAATTGCTTAGTTCAGACAGCTTTATGAACTTGGACATCAGAGTAGGCAGGTTTTATAGAGCCCAACTAAAATATGAGAAACTCTGGTGAGAGAAAGGGGGCATTCCAGCTAGGTGAGCAAGTAGGGCCAAGCTCAGCGCTAGTTTGCACAAAAATCCCTTGTTTGTCTGCTTTCCTCTTCTACCCATTTTTTTTTCCTATATTTTATTAATTTTCATAAACATTTACAGAGATCTTCTACCCATTTTGCACATACTTCTTCCTATGGCCCAGCTCTACCTTTTTTTGTGGTTGCACTTAAAATTTTGTGATGGTTCCAATCTGCCTACTGCATGAAACCTTAACTCTTTTATCTGACATTTTCTCTCGGGCTCAGTTTCCTTTTCCAACATCTCTCTCTTCCCCTCCACGCTAAGCTTCAGCTGTCCATTGGTCTTTCCTGTTCTTCACTAATTTCACTTTCTCTTCAGATGCAGCTCCTGCTTACGTCTGGTGGATGCTGGTGAGATGTTTGTGGAGTGGACCTCTCAGGAGGCCAACTTTTAGCCCTGTGTTTTAGCCCTGTGAATCCTAATTGGGGACTTTATACATCTAATTTAACTTGGTATCCATCATAAGTCTAGCCCAATTCTAACAATAATAGGTTGTTGTTGTTGTTGTTGTTATGTGCCGTCGAGTCGTTTGCGACTCATAGTGACCCTATGTACAACAGCCCTAAACCCTGCTCTATCCTATGCCAATCTTATTGCCTCTGACACACCCATCCCGAGTACCCCAGTCACTGAATCAATCCACCTCATAGAGGGTCTTCCCCTCCTGCGCTGCCCCTCCACTCTGCCCAGCATGATGTCCCTCTCTAAAGACCTGTCTCTCCTTACAACATGTCCAAAGTATGTCAGGCGAAGCCCCAGAATCCTTGCCTCCAAGGAGCAGCCTGGTTTAACCCTCTCTAGGATGAATCTATTTGTTTTCTTGGCAGTCCATGGTACATTCAGTATTCTTCTCCAGCACCACAACTCAAAGGCATCAACTCTCCTTCTGTCCTCCCTAGTCATTGTCCAACTCTCTGATGCATAACAAGTGATTGCAAAAGCCATGGTCTGTATCAGGCACACCTTAGTTTCCAGAGAGACACCGTTGCTCTTGAGTACTTTATAGAGGTCCCTAACCGCAGACTTTCCCATCACAATAAGTTTTTTAATTTCCTGGCTACTGGTGCCAAGAGTGTTGATCATGGAGCTGAGCAAACTGAAGTTGTGAACAATCTCAATCTCTTCACCATCCATCCTGATGCTACCGATTGGTCCAGTGGTGAGAATTTTTGTCTTCTTGACATTGAGCCTCAGTCCATATTGAAGGCTGCAGTCCTTGACCCTCTGCAGTAAGTGCATGAGGTCCTCCTCAGTTTCAGCGAGCAGGGTTGTGTCATCTGCATAACGCAGATTGTTGATAGATCGTCCACCAATCCTAACGCCACGCTTCTCCTTATAAAGCCCAGCCTCTCAGATAATCTGCTCTGCATACAGGTTGAAAAGGTATGGAGACAGGACACATCCCTGGCGTACACCCTTCCCAATTTTGAACCATGCAGTGTTGCCCTGCTCTGTTCTGACGACTGCCTCTTGGTCCAAGTATAGGTTTCGCATTAGCACGATTAAATGTTCTGGGATTCCCATTCTTCTCAGAGTCAGCCACAGTTTGTTATGATCCACACAGTCACATGCCTTTGCATAATCAATGAAACACAGATAGACATTCTTCTGGTATTCTCTGCTTTCAGCTAAGATCCATCTAACATCGGCTACAATATCTCTAGTACCACGACCCCTTCTAAACCCAGCCTGGACTTCTGGCAGTTCTCTGCTGATGTGCTGTTCCAGTCGTTTTTGGATAATCTTCAGTAGAATCTTGCTTGCCTGTGAAATCAATGAAAGGAGCTAACTTTTTTCTTCTTTTTTTAAAAAAAAAAATTCATTGTAGCACATTTTCTTCCTTCTTCCTCCCTTCTCCCCAGCCCACCTTGTAGTGCACCTCTTGTTTCAGATTGTTGTCAATACATATAATGCCTAATCATATAGTCCTTTTGGACACTTCTTCCCTCATCTGTTTCAATGCAGTGTTCATTATCTATCCACTCTTTTCCTATTCTACCCCTGTGCCCTCATGTCAGTTCTGCTTTATAACAGTGATGGTCTGCAGTATTTTTCCTTTTGTGACTGAGATATTTCACTCATCATAATGTCTTTCAGGCTTGCCCATGTTGTAAAAGGTTTTACAAGTCTGTTGTTTTTCAGTGCTGCATAGTGTTCCATTGTTTGATTATTCCATAGTTTTTGTATCCATTCTTTTGTTAAAGGGCACTTTGGGTTGCTTCCATATCTTTGCTATTGTGAATAACGCAGCAGTAAGCATGAGTGTGCATACATCTCTTTGGATGGCAATTCTGGTTTCATGGGTGGCCTAGTGGTAAGAAAGCTATGCTGCCATCTGGAAGGCATGAGGTTGGAATTCACCAGCTGCTCCAAGGAGAACAATGGGCAGTCTTCTCCTGTGTGATGATTAACTGCTGAAAACCCTCTGGAGGCTCAGCAATGGGCTGGTTCCGATTCATACACAATACTACCCAGTAGTGGAATTGCCGAGTCAGGAGCTAACTTTTAATAGTGGCTTTCCCATGCCAGGGCTTACTAAGGACCTGATGCAATCCATATTAACTACTTAATCCTTCCAACAACCAGAGTTAGATATTGTTGTTATACTCACTTTAAAGATAGGGCGATTGACCCAGAGAAAACGTAAATACTTTCGCTAAAGTCATATAGCTGGATGGTGGCAGAGAGTTGCATGGGTTTGTGACTGACCTTATGGATGACATAATGCACAGTTGTCCTATCTACGTGAAGTGGGGCAGGAGGGTGTCTCTGTTGATATGTGTTGGGAAATGCAGGTGGACAGGTAACTAAACTTGGAGAGTTTGGACTTGATAGGCAGACCGTTGGATTACTACAGGTTCCTAGGCTGTGGAGTGCCACAGTGAAAGCTAACAGGCATTCATGTTGCAAAGTCCCTTGACATACTGATTTCATTTTATGACTCTGATAAGTGGAAGCAATTATTCAGGCAGTCTAGAAAGAGAAAGAGGCTGATGAAGTCGTTCTCAGAGATTTGAATGGAATGGTGTGACCAGACCATTTCTGAGTAGAACTTCAAAGAATCAAGCACTAAATTAATACCTGAAGGCTCTGATGTAAGGAATTAATTAGAAGCAATAAATAGCAAATGAGAAACCATTAACCAACCAATGGAGTATGCCAAAGCAGGCTCCAGGGATTGTAAAAATGGAACAGATAGTTTCTGTGAGTTAGACAGTAATGGAACCACAAAACCATACTGAGAACCTGAAAAATCAATCAAGAAAATTAGGGCCTCTCAACAATTTCAGCTTGCTTGGCTCCACAATCAATACTGTTAGCATCAGCAATGAGAAAATCAAAAGACAGATTGCATTAGGAAAATTTGCCTTCAGGGACCTCTCCAGAGTGCTAAAGAGCACTGATTTCAGTCTCAAGACTAAGGCGCAGCTGACCAGGCCATGGTCTTCACAGTTGCTTGCTATGCATCAGAGAGCTAGATAATGTCTAAGGATGACAGAAGGATAGATGCTTTTGAGTTGTGGTGCTGGAGAAGAGTATTGAACATATTGTGTACTGCCAAGAGAACTAACAGGCTTGTCCTGAAAAGAGTGAAACCAAGTTGCTCTGTGGAGGCAAGGATTTTGAAGCTCTGTCTCACATACATTGGGCATATTACCAGGAGGGACCAGTCCTTGGAGAAGGACATAATACTTGGAAGGATGGAGGGACAGCGCAAGAGAGGAAGACCCCAGATAAGATGGTTTGACACAGTAACTAAGGAAATGAAGGTGTGTGTGTGTGTGTGTGTGTGTGTGTGTGTGTGTGTCAGAGATAATAAGAGCGTCTCAAGATAGGACAAGCTTCAGAGCTATTGGTATAGAGCCCCTCAGTGGCACATGTTATAAACAACAACATGTTATAAAAATATCTGAAGCTAGAAAATTAGTATATAGGAGAAAACAGAATGAGCAAAAGATGGTTCTAACTATTACCCAAAACATAATAGTCTAGAGTATGTTAAGAGAAGAAGGAAGGAGAAGACTTCATACAGTTGGGAAGGTACAGAAACCACGTAGTCCCAGACTAAATTCTTCCCACAGGAGCATCAAAATGGAAATTGGTGAGAAAAGAACAAATACAAAAAAAAAGGTAAGAAAAAGTGGTAGAATAGATTAAAAAAATACAGATAACCCAATTTAAAAAAAAATGGAGAGACTCTAAAGAGGCATTTCTTAGAGAAAATAACAATAATACAGTAAACACATGGAAAGATGCTCAGTAGCATTAATCATTAGGGAGTTCCAGTGGTGTAGTGCACTATGTGTTGGGCTGTTAAACAAAAATTTGCTAGTTCAAATTCACCAACTGTTTTGGGGCAAGAAAATGAACAATCTCATCCCATGTAAATGTTCACAGCCTTACAAACCTCTTGGAGGGTCTCCACAAGTTTCAGTCAAGTAGACAGTGGTTGGCTTGACTTCTCAATTTGCCAGTTGTTGTTAGGCGCTGTAGAGTTGCTTCAGACTCATAGCAACCCTCTGTACAACAGAACAAAGCTCTGTCTGACGCTGCACTGTGATATGCTTAACCCCATTCTTAGAGTCACTGTCAGCCCAGCTCATTGAGAGTCTTCCTCTCCTTGGCTGACCCTCCACTTTTCCAAGGACCGGTCCCTCCTGATAATGTTCCTAGAGTAATGAGATGAAGTCTAACCATCCTTGCTTCTAAGGAGCATTCTGGCTGCTCGTCAAAGACAAATTTATTTGTTCTTTTGGAAGACCATGGCATGCTTGGGAAGTGCAAATCACCATGACAATGAGGTATCACTTCATACCTACTTAAAAAAAAACCCACCCTCTCTCAAACACCACCTTGAGTTGGAACTGACTCATAGCTGACCCTCATGGGTTTTCAGAGGCTGTAAATTGCACTGGAGGAAATTACCCATCTTTCTTCCTTGGAGCTGCTGGTGGACTTGAACTACCAGAGAGATAGATTAGTGATTCTCAGGGGAGGGCTAAAGAGTGAAGGTGGAAATGACAGCTTTTAGGTACAGGATTTCTTTTAA